TACACAGACTGATTTTGCAGAAGCCGTAGTGCCAACCAACATCCGTGATCCCATAGGTATTCCCCTTCCTCAAGTGGTCCGACCTGGGTCTTTTCCCAACAAAGATGTTGTGCAAGATGAATTCTAGTGCCAGCTTTTGAAAGTAATAATAAATGATAGAGTTTCTTTGTGTTATGTTAGAGTGAGATCATTTCTGGTCAAGTTTGAAGGATGTCCAGTGCCCTAACCCATGCCATTTGGGGAGAGATTGGTGGAGGGAGGATTAGAGGAAGTGCGAATAATGAATAACTTTCTCATACTTCTTGAGAACTATTTCTTCTATCACAGTCCTATTACAGGTCTTTCCTAAAATTGCTTTCCAGATACCCCTTTCTCTCCTTATTTCTCTCCTCAGGCAAAATAGTAGAAAATATTACATTTTCAAGAGGACACTTGGGCAAAATCAGATTCAGGACAGGCCATTCAAATTTCTGGAATCACCAGTTTGGACCTGCAGCCAGTTCAGGGAGTCCTGACTTTAATGTACCATCTTCCTTTTGCAAACGCTTGAACATGTCTGAGTTTTTGAACATGTCTGAGTTTTTGAAGTTATTTCTGCCATCCTCGGTTCTTCTTTCAGGTTTAATTGCATTTCTTTACCCAAAACTATCCCGTACAAGCATTTCATGTGATGTCACTTCAGAGTTTGAGGTTTTAGTGCCTACCTTGAGAGCTTTATTTTTATTCTGTACCAAGTGTTCATAAGATTAAGCCTTTATTTAGGTAAATTAGCAACAGCAACAATAAACTGCCATCTTACTTTGCTCCAGCAGTCACTGAGCATTTTTTGTGTGCCAGCTGTACCATGGCAGTTACCTGCATTACCTCAATTTATTACAACTGTCCTTTGAGAAAGATTGGCAGACTATTATCCCCAAAATATAGATCAGAAACTGGGACTTAGAGAGGGTAGGAAGCTTGTCCTAAGGCACATAGTTATGAATAGAAGGATTTGAACCTCTGACTCAACACCGAAGCTTGTGAGCCTAAATGTCAGACTATTTACCATGGCTGGCAGAGAGGGATGAGAGAGGAAAGAAAATCCGTGTTTTGTTAAGTCAACAGATATGTTTACAGATTTCTGTATAAACAGTGAAATTTCCCCATAGGAGTCAAACAAGAAGAGACAGTAATTCCTAAAAACGCATTGGTGAACTTGGTTCTGCCATAGCTGCAGTGAACTCTGGATTTCACTCATCAATGTCTTACTTTTCTTTTGTCAGCATCTTTTTGTTACTCATTAATCAAAAAGCCTCATCCAGCTTTCTTTTGGAATAACTGTTTTTATAATTTTCTAGAAAAGCTTCTCTGCACTTTTTCTTAGGATTTTTTCCCCTACAAATGGTAGTATTCCTAAGTTTATATTATTCCAGACATGAGAGAACCAAGGTCAGAAATCTTCATGGGATTTTTAAGGTTATTTACTTCTTCCTACCCCTAACACACACACACACACACACACACACACACACACACACGTTGCTTTTGTGTAGTCATTATTCAAAATATGGACGTAAAAACTCTTGGCTTCAGGCAGTCAATAATTAAGATGACTTCAAAATATGTTGAGTGTGTGAGAGTGGGGAGGGGGTCAGTTGCAGTTTCAAGGAAGAGCACACTGTGAACCAGTTCTGGAGCCTGCTTAAAGGCCACAAAGGTTTATGCAGCAGGAGGGCTAATGACCTCCTCTGTCCTAGAAAAATAGAGTGACTCAGAATACAGATGTTCCACCTACCCCTGTATTTGTAGTTATGAGCGGGCTGTGCAGTTCCCAGGGAGTCTTTGAATCATCTGTTCTTATATTTTCTCATGCTGCTGCTCTTTTTAGAACAATCTAGGACATGTCAGCTAAAAAAATGCACCAGTTGCTTGCAAAGAGAGAATGGCTTTTTATGTAGGGGTAGGGACACACAGAATTCTCTTTCTCCCTCTGCTTGGAAACATGATCGAGAGAATGAGCTAATAGTTCTAGAGAAATATGAGTTCTGATGTACCCAGATACCTGGAGAACATCATGAAGTAAAGGCAGTTTAATGTAACTTTTAGCTTTAGTTCTGGTGTATATAAAATTAGGAAGATGTGATAATTTTACTTTAATAAATACTAACATAAAGGAGTTGAACAAGAGAAACCTGAATTTGTGGACAGCCTCATAAAGTAAAACAAACAAACAAACAAACTGAGTAGCTCTTGCAAAATCATTTTTGGTACAATGTGCCCCAGGGCTGTGTCACTCCTGGTATTTTTTCCATCTTCATAGGAGTGTCCCAGTCGAAGCAGACCCTGGATTCAGGTAAATAGGTGGAACTTCATGTCAGATGAGTTCCTGGATCACCCTGGCATAGGACAAAAGGCCTTATTTTATTTTTTCAAGTATGTATCTGTACAAGGCATCTGTGAGGCACTAAATCCTGGTTTCTAGTCTAATCTATTACTCCTTCAATTCCTGGGATTCTGGGAGGGATAGTGAAAGCGAAAGCAACAGTATTAGTATCCCATGATTTTAAAGCAAAAAAAAGGACTTCATAGGAATACTGCTCAAATGTTCCTCAAGTACAAGTTCATGGACTGGTTAAAGGAAATTTTCATCAGTTGGATAAAATGAAAAACAAGCAGGGAAGTGAGGTTTGTATAAAGCCAAATGTAATTAATTTATAAGGAAAATTTTTGAAGAATGTATCTCTTAGATTTTTTATTTTTAAAAGGCAATTTTATGGTGCTTTTGAGGGATTGAAACCTTTATTCTCTACCCTTTCTTTGCTGCCCCCTTTTCTGTGAAGGAAATCAGAATATGTTACTCCAAAATATACCTCTTTGACAGAAAAATTATTTTGAGTGAAAGCAATTAAGAAGCAGCAAATGCAGGAAATGCTCCCCCTTTTATTGCCTACATGCAGGGTATAAATTCTCGTTTTATTCAAGATAGACTGTTACTAGCCCAGAGACACCAGAGGAATCTGCAAACAAACTTCGCTTCATTAGTTTCCTTCCATATATTTACCTTCACACAGTTTGCCATGCTTGGAAGCTTAAAACTGCTTTCCTTTGTTCTGTAATTTCTCTGGAAATTTGTTCTTGGTTGAAAATGCTATCTAAGCAGGAGTTCTAAGCCACTGCTCTGACTTTGTCTTCATTTAGCTTTCCCCATTGATGTGTACTACTGCATGCTTTATTTTTCTCTTGTTAATCTGTTTTTCTTTTCTTTCTTTCATTCTTTTTGTTGGTGGTGGTGGTGGTGAAGAACTGTAGTGGAAAACCTAAGGTAGGAAAAGAAGCTCAAGAAACTGAGACCCAGATGGGGATCAAAGTGTATTCTCAGGACCACTTTTGTCCTGGGCTGGGCGATGCCCTAAGTCTAGTACAGAGGGCAGCCTCCTTTTCACTCCCCCATAACCAAATTCATCCAGGTCTATTCTACAAGGTCAGTCTGACTCATGCCCAGTCACAGGCTGAGAAAGTGGAGCAAAGAGAATTGTGGATTGCTAAGTAGGCCATGCCTAGTCTACTTAACCACACAAAGGAGCAGTAAACTCTCATTTAGGACCTTGCCCACCAGTGAACCATGTCTTGTGAATGTCAGCACTTATCAATCAGATTCAGTGCTTGTCTTTTGGATAGCAAGAATGTGGAGTGGAAGCTTTCTTCCCAGTCTTGGCCTAGAGGTGGAAATGTTGAAAGAAGAGCCTTCCTTTATGTGCCAAAATGGGTGCGCAGGGCTTTGAGTTGCCCTGACACTTTCATTGCATCTGCTATTGCTGGATAGCTAAGGATTGGAGGGAATTGTAGAAAGAAAGGCGTTCTTAGTTCTACAATCAGGCTAAGAGAGATTTTTTTTAATTAAAAAAATTAAATTTGGTAAAATACATATAAACTTTACAGTCTTAACCATTTAAAAGTGTACAGTTTAGTGGTGTTAAGTGCATCTATATTATGCTACCATCATCACCATCCACCTCCAGAATTTTTTTATCTCCTCAAATTAAAACTGTACCCATGAAACAATAACTCTTCCATCCTCCCTCCAGCTCCTGACAACCACCATTCTACTTTCTATGAATTTGACTATTCTAGATACCACATAACTGGAATCATACAGTATTTTTGTGACTAACACTTAGCATGTCTTAAAGGATGATCCATGTTGAAACATGTCAGAATTTCCTTCCTTTTCAAGGCTAATTTTCCATTGTATGTATTTAACTGATCATTTTTCTGGGAACTTGAGCCAGATCCTCAACGTGGCAGCTGGTACCTGTTGCAGTAATAATTCCGGCCTAAAAATGCACAAACTGTCCTGGCCTAAAAATGCACGGACAGTCCTAGCACCTTTCTGAGCACAGAGTCAGGGAATGAAAGAAGATATAGGATAAATTCTTTATCTCAACTGAGAATCAGAGTTATAGCAACCAAGGAGATATGGGAGTGCCTGTCAGTCACTGGGCACCTTGAAATGTCAGTCACATTTCAATGGCTCCTCTCAAGACCCGGCCATTGGAAGTTTGAATATGGATGGTACCTCTAACCTTTGGCTTGCTTCTAAAAGTGCCTTTTGTGCCACTGGGACCCATGATCCTCTGTCTTTCTGCTTTCAGGATTGCGTACTTCAGAAGAAGATTCCTACTGTATGGCAACTCTGAGTGGGAGAAAATGTTGAACCTTAATGTCTTTGGACTTTAATTGACCAAAGTCAAAACCTTTCATCTTTGAAAGTCAACCTGTCTTTGGAAATGTCACCATTGAGGTGAGTTCATGTTAAAATTTGGGTGTTTTTGTTTTGCTATCTTTGCATTATTTGGAATATTTTAGATTTTCACCCAGTGTGCATTATGAGATCTCTGATGAGTAATGTTGAGCATTGAGTGGGAACATCATTTGAGATGAAAAATGGAAAAGGCAGTGAATTTGGGCCTACAGTGTATATGGCCTCGGAGTTGTCTTAATATTCTGTTTTGACCTGTTTCAGAGACTTCTGGGGCAATAGCTGAGCTACCTACTTCATAGCCTTCAGAAGCGGCCAACAGGAACAGGTGCAGGGAGTAGAGGCCCAACCTCATCTACATAGACAAGGCGCTTCCTTGATAGACTGCTCTGCATCTGACTGGCATTGGGTGTGGTTGTGAAATAATGATATTAAATAGAAAGAAAGCAAAAAAACCTTAAATAACTTCCTTTTCTTGTGCCAGAACGTTTTCCCCAAGATTTAGCCTGCAGTGAAGGTCTTTATCTTCTCTAGTTTGCTTAGGCCCAACCTCATCTACATAGACAAGGCGCTTCCTTGATAGACTGCTCTGCATCTGACTGGCATTGGGTGTGGTTGTGAAATAATGATATTAAATAGAAAGAAAGCAAAAAAACCTTAAATAACTTCCTTTTCTTGTGCCAGAACGTTTTCCCCAAGATTTAGCCTGCAGTGAGGGTCTTTATCTTCTCTAGTCTGTACTTTTGAAAAAGTGATTTGATTCTAACATTATATGGTTCCTATTGATATCTCTGTTTTTGATGTCAGAATTTGACTTTCAGAAATGGTGTTGATTTGAGTGGAATTATAGCCAGTGATTTCTAAGAAGTGTTTGTCTCCTCATAAGAGAAGTCCATTTGTGCTGCTATAACAAAATACCACAGGCTGGGTGGCTTATAGACAACAGAAATTTATTTCTCAGAGTTTTGGGGGCTGGAAATCTGAGATGAGGGTGCCAGCATGGTTGGGTGAGGGGTCTCTTCCAGGTCGCAGACTTCTATTAATCCAATTCTTCAGGGCTCCACCCTGATGACCTCCCAAAGGTCCCATCTCCTAATAACATCCATCACATTGGGCATTTAGTTTCAATGTATGACTTTTTGGGGGACATGAACATTCAGTCTATAGCAGGAGGTATATGTTAAAAACCCGGTGGTGGCCTGCAAATGAAAATGTGCACTGCCTAGGAAAAAAGGTATCACAGTTTTAAAGCAAAATGAACATTGCAAATACATTTTCTCGTCCATTTCTAGAGTGGTCTCCATCATTCTCTTATTTATACAATAAATATTTATTGTATATATATGACAGGCATATATATGACATATATATGACATATATATGACAGGCATTCCTCTAGATACTTGGGATATGTTTATACCCTTGTCTCATTCTCTCTTTCCTTTGACTTTCTCCTTCTTTTCCTCTTTTCTTCCCTTTGTTTCCAACTGGAAAGAAAGGGAATACCTTGCCAAAGACCTGAATACTGGAGTACTCAGTGAGTGGAGTGAAAGGGGCAGGTGGAGGAATCCTTTGTGAGATGGTTCCTGGGAAAACCAAGGAATATCACCTAGTTTGTTTTTCAGGATATTGTGAAATACAGTCTAATTTTTGAAGTATTTTTTTTAGAAATTTCACTTAATCCAAAGCAAAGCAAGAAGACCATGGTAGGTATAGTTTTTGAGAGTCTATTTTGCAGTAAAACAGACAAGTAAGCAAATAGTTTACTTTTTACACATATACTTTTTTTTTTACCGAGCCCAGAATTCTTTTTCCTCCACACTAGATGGCAGTAGAGTTAACGAAAACCATCCGAAGCAGCTTTGGTGCATTTTCCACAAAGCTAAGGATGAAGAAAGAGTCAGAGCAAAATCTGTATAAAGAGAAAGTTAAATTATGACATATGACTCTACCATGTCACATGCTCATTTCAGCAAAATGTGTCTGGGGCAGAATCTCTCTTTTTCTCTCCATGTTGTTTCTCTATAGGGTAAGTAGAGAATGAGAGATTTCTTAAATCTAACTAATACATCATGTAACTTTTGGTTGGCAAGGCGAAGCTTTTAATTTGAACTTGTACTTAAAAATAACTCCTGGTGTGTGTGTGTGTGTGTGTGTGTGTGTGTGTGTGTGTGTGTGTGTGTAGAGAGACAGAGACAGACAGAGACAGTGATAGAGACAGTCTTTTTCCTGCCACTCATATCAGTTACGTTTCAGAGGACATTTAATGTGAAAATTCGAAACCCTGAGGAAGTCAGCTCTTCAGTGGTTTTCAAATGTTTTGGAATAAATTTAAGAATAATGTTGTCAAGATTCTTACAATAACAATACAAATAATAAATATATGGAGGAAGGAGATAAAGTAAATGCATTAAACTGTTAGCAACTGGTGAATCTGGGGAGAAAGTATATGATGGTCATTGTACTATTCTTATAATTTTTCCAAGGCTTTAAAATTTTTCAAAATAAAAATTAGAAAATAGAAAAAAGTTATCACAAAATGTGTGGCTTAACTTGCACACATAATAGATGTGTAGGAAGAGTTACTCTGTAGCATAATTAAAACTATAGCAAATATACCAAATACATGGATCTAAGAAATCTTGGATGACATCTGTATCTTTCTAGCAAATCAAGGCTAAATCTTAAATATTCATTCATGGGCTCCTTCCTTGTATTCATTCATTCTATCATTCAACAAATATTTATCAAATAGCTACTAAGTGTATAACACAAGAGTTACAGCTGTGAATGTTGCAGACAAAGTCCCTGCACTCCTAAAACTTACTTCTGACTGGAGAGACAAAGGTAAACGCACTGTTGGGTAGTGATGAGTAGTAGTTAGAGAAAGTGAGAAGTTAGGATAGAAAGTGAGAGGGCACAGTCACCTTAAATAGGTTCATCAGAGCAGGCTGGCCCCTCTAAAGAGGTGACATTGGAGCAGACACCCGAGGAAGTGAGATGTAGACCTTGTGTGTCTGGGGAAGAGAGCTCTCAGCAGAGGGAGTGTGCCTGAGATGTCAGAGATCTGCAAGCAGCCAGTGTGACCTGGACGAAGTGAGGGAAGGGAACTAGGTAGAAGATGAGGGTGACATATACTGATTAGATCTGGCCTTGTGGGTTAGTCAACAAAGTCAACAAAGAAACAATGAAAAGAAAAATAATCATTAATGCCCAATGACTTTTATAAACTATCTTCGTTTAAATAATAGTTTGGTGGTTCCTCAAAAAGTTAAACAAACATACACTTCATGTATGATTCAGTAATTTCACTTCTAGGTATATACATTAATAATTGAAAGCTGTAACTGGAACAGATAGTTCTAAATCAATTTTCATAGCAGCACTATTCACAATAGATAAAAGGTAGAAACAATTAAAATGTTCGTCAATGGATAAATGGATAAACAAAATGTGGTAGATGCATATAATGGAATATTATTGAGCCTTAAAAAGGAATGAAGTTTTTACATATGCTACAACATGGATGAACCTCAAAAACATCTTGTTAAGTGAAATAAGCCAAACACAATAGGGCGAATGCTATGTGATTCCACTTATAATGAGGTACCTAGAATAGGCAAATCCATAGAGACAGAAAGTAGACTACAAGTTAACTAGGGCTGGGGGAGGAGATAATGGAAGTTATTGTTTAATGGATGTAGTTTCTGTTTTGGATGTTAAAAAAATTATGGAAATGGACAGTTGTGATGGTTGTATAACATTGTGAGTGTACTTAATGCCATTGAATTATACAACTAAAAATTGTTAAAATTGTTATGTATATTTTACCAAAGAAAAACCCTTTTCTTCCTTTTCTTAGTGATAGTATTCAATTTATCCTCTCAAGATGACTAGTTTACAAGGACTTTGATGATATGGAATATTTTCCAGCAATATTAACCATCAATTTTTACCATCTCCTCTTCCTTTCTCCCCCACAAAAAACCCCCCACATATTTATAACAAAATTGCTTTATTTACACTTGTTACCAAGGGTCTTTTCCTAAGGAGGAAATATATTGATAGATTAAGATCATATTAAGACATTCTTATGGGTGAAAAATTGGAAACAAATTAAATGTTCAATTGGGAAATAGTTAAGACACTTTAAAACATTTGTTTGATAGAATATCACATGTCCATTTGAATGATGATGACATGTGAAAATGCTTATATATGAATGTCAAATGAAAATGGCATCTATAACACTTTTCATGGTGTAGGATCTCATTACAGTTGAAAAAACACACTCTCTGGGAACTAAAAGTAAAAGGTAGTTTAGCAAAATGTTAATGGTGGTAATATCTAGGTGCTTGTGTTATGGATGATATTTATTTTCATTTCATTTTTGTGTATTTTTATTTCCCCCAGCTTTTTATTATGAAAATCTTTAAACATACTAAAAATTTGATAGACTAGTACAATGAACTTCCAAGTACTCTACTTAGATTCCATAATTGTTAATATTTTCCTATATTTGCTTTATCTATCTATCTATCTATCTATCTATCTATCTATCTATCTATCTATCTATCTATCTATCTTTTCATCTGTCTACACTGGGAGTTGACAAACTATGGCCAAATGCCAAATCTGGCCTATCACCTGTTTTTATACAGCCCCCAGTTAAGAAGGGTTTTTATATTTTTAAGCATCAACATTTTAACTGGTTATACAGTTATCTAGCAAATATCCTTGATTTTAGTCTCTTGGTCTGCAAAGCCTAAAATAATTACCAAGTGGCCCTTTACAGAAAAAGTTTGCCAACCCAGGATCTATACACGCATGTGTGCACGCACACACACAAACATAATTTTGCTGAACCATTTGAAAGCAAGTTGCAGACATTATAACATTTCTCCCTCAAATACTTCATTATATATCTCTTAAAAATAAAGTAATATTCCTACTTAACCAAATACCATTATCACGCCAAAGGAAATGAACAATTATTTTGTATCGTAAAATAACCAATCCATATGTGAATTCATGTGATTATA